GTTTTCAGACTAGTACTGATATTTGTGTATGGAAACTACTGTAACGAAACATCTGCAAGAAAACAACTAAGTTCCCTTGATAGCGAGATGGCTAGTCCACAAATTTACTAAATAAAAAAATAATGAAAGAAACAAATTTAACAGAAAAGACTTGAGACGGTCGTCTTTGGATGGAGTTGGAGAGGTCTTCAAACTAGAACATGGGGAACAAACGGCAACGTTGAGTTCTTTAAGCTGTTTTTTAAAAAATAGAAACCCATTTTTTTTTAAAAAAAAGTTAAAACTAAGTTTTCTCCATAGTGCATTCCAGTTTTTTTTTATTACACGTCGCTGATTTACGCTTAACCATTTTTCCTACTCCTTTTCTGTGCTTTGCTAACGCTGCTTACAAAAAAAAAAGGGGGGGGGGACTGCGTGTTTGCGTGTTTGTGTGTCAGTATGTGTGTGTTTACGGGTGCATCATTATATATCTATTGGCAGAGGGCGCGAGAGAGCCAGGCTGGCTGTGAGTACTGGTGGACTGAGAATCCAAAATGCCGTTGGCGGGGTTCCTTGCCAATCATGGAAAAGCGCCTTGGCGCTGAGGTTGCTGGGAATTGTAGGCGTCGCTGTCCGGGAGAGGCGGTTCGGGAGCCCAGCCCAGTGGGAGGGACGGGCTCAGGAAGAAAGGGGAGACAGGTACCTTGCGATCGGCCCTGCAGGTGACAGGAGCCGAGGGAAGGGGGCGAGGGAGGGCATGCGAGGGGGAGGGAAGTCTCGGCGTCGAAGAAAGAGGAGGCCCGGGGGAAGGGCGGCGGGTGCATTGCAAGCCACAAGGTGGAGAAGCGAGTCGCCGATTGGCCAGCCCCCGGATTGCCGCTGGGGCAATTGTGCGATCATCAGCCTTTTGCAGCAACAGGGAAGGAGCACGAGGTGGGCTGCATTTCTTTTCCCGGCGGGGGGAGCCCGACGTGGCTTTTTGGCGCTCACGTCTGCACTCCTCGGTTAGGAACAGCGGCAGCAACGGAGGAGCAGGTGTGGGTTGGGGGGGGAGGTCTGGTGGAGGAAACCCACGCCGCTTACATACATCCCCTTTGTGCTCCCTCGTTCCCCCCGACCCACCCACGTTCCCAGCCTGCGCCCGCGGTGCAGAGCTCTTTCCCAAAGTGAGTTGCCTTTCTTAAAAGTTGGAGGAGAACCTTTAAGATCATAGTGGCAGAGTCGGTCAGAAATAATAGTCTAGCAACAACAATAATAATAATGTCCAGGGGATAGAATGTTAGAAGGAAAAGTCTGAGTGACAACGGTTGAAAGAATCAAGGGTGGATATTTTCAACCAAGCTTGCCCTGGTTTTAGAGTCCTTTTTTTAGAAACACGGACATGGTGGACATTCCTTATGGTAGAATCAGCCTATATTTTTTTTGTTCTATTCCACTTTCTCCCTATAATGGTCAGTCCACCTCTACCCACCAATCCCTTTGTACAATATATCCATTGGCCAGCTCAGTCTCCCCCCTTGGGTTCCTGTTCCTTCTGCTTGTATCTAGCGGGACTAACTTGCCTGCCTCTGAGAAGCCACACTGATTGTTGTGCTGCTATTGTTCCCCATTTCTCCCCCTAGAGTTGCGGCACAGTGTGCTTTTTGACTTTGGGTCCTCCTTCCCTCTCCTTTGGGCTAGCAACTGCCCCTGGGCTATTGCTGGACTCTGTATGGGGGAGTAGGAATTGTGGGGGAATAGGAATTGTGCATTGGGCAATATGAATTGACTGCTTCAGTCTCATCCTTTGTGGGGGGGGGGAGTGAATGCCTAGGGAAACAGCGAAGGGAGGGAGGGAGAGGGTCCCCTTGTGCCATATGTTCTTTTTTTTGTTGCCTCTGTCCTAGCTGAAAAAGGGCACAAGGGTACGGCAGACCCAGATAGGTTTTGTGCTGCCGCTGGTGCCTCTAGCACTGATCCTTTGCTGTCTTGCAGCTGGTCTCCCGCAGCCGTTTCTCCAGGAGCTACTACGTGCTCTTCGGCAACAGCAGGAGCGAGAAGTGGAGAAGGATAAGGGTGTCTTCCGACTCCCCAAGCGTGCGTGCCGATCTCTGCAACTTCACATCATAGCTTCTCTTTTGCCATCTGGGACTCCGCGCGCAGAAGAACGGAGGAGAGAAAGAGGAGGCACTGTTAGCAGCACTAACCCTGCCCTCCGTGGGTTTGCATTACAGGAACATGCAGTGATTTGCTGCTCTGCCTTTAGACCCATCCCAACCATCAGGGTGTGTGGTATATGGTGTGTGTGGGAGGGGGAGATCTACTGTCTCTGTAATAAATGATAGAGGATACAATGACTTTGCTCTCTTTGCTGGGTCGGATCATGCGTTACTTCTTACTGAGACCAGAGACGCTGTTCCTGCTATGCATCAGCCTGGCCCTATGGAGCTACTTCTTCCATACGGATGAAGTGAAAACCATTGTCAAGTCCAGCAGGGATGCAGTGAAGATGGTGAAGGGCAAAGTAGCAGAAATTATGCAAAATGATCAACTTGGGGGTCTAGACGTGCTGGATGCAGAGTTTTCCAAGACCTGGGAGTTTAAGAACCACAATGTGGCTGTTTATTCCATCCAAGGCCGGAGAGACCACATGGAAGACCGGTTTGAAGTGATCACGGATCTGGTGAACAAGACTCATCCATCCATATTTGGGATATTTGATGGACACGGTGGAGAGGCAAGTTTCAGGCTGGTTTGGGTGATGGGGATTTGCTATTATTGTGTGTTCAGATGTTTGGGAATTTGGGCAGTGATCCTACGGGGCTTTGTAAGTTAGCTGCAAAGTTGATTTGTGCTGTTGTAACACTCTTTGATTTGCTCAAAATCAATTCCATGAGTCTCATTGGAAAAATAGGGGTACAGCTGAATCTTCAGTGAATTGAAAATGTAGACCCAGAACCTTAAGAGCAATGATTGTGCTTTTTCATATATTTGGAATAAGCTCTTAGAATCAAACTGTCTGGCCTTCAATGATGATATCTGCAGTTAGTTAAAAGCTACCTTTGTTTTAATAAAGCACGAATGTACAACTGTAAAGTAAAAGCTATCAGGAGAGTGCTGACTGAGGGATGTGCCAGCAAACTTTACCACTCTCCGTTTTGCAGCAACCTCTCGTCATTATGACTTTATTTATGGGATTTTCCGTATCCTTTTTTGACTCACTGAGATGAGCTGCTTGCCTAGAATAGAAGTGAAAATAAATGCCATGTGCCTCCCTGCAGCATATGCGCAGAAGAATGGCTGTAGCTTTTTTGCAGTTGTGTGGGAGAAGGCAGGTTTATTTGGATAATAACTAACTGCATGTCTGTTCATTAGGCACACATTAGAAAGAGGCTTCATTCTATTTCACTTGAATTCAGAGGGTGGTTCTGAATGGATAAGGAGGTGGTTTCATGCCCAAGTTAAACATTCACACCCGCTGAAGTAATTGGCCGATTTGTTTTTATTTGCTTCTGTGGTTTTATTTATTTATTTATCAAGAGTCTGCATTTCCTACAGCTGTTCTGATAAATCAAACTTGCTGGAAAAGCTCTGATGGTGATCAGAAAGAAATTGAGCCTCCTGGGGAGAGGATTTTTACATTATAAGAGAGTTCTTATAATGGGATATGTTGTGGCTCTTGATAATCTTCTGTTTGTTTGTCAGATAAGGAGATTGGATGGTTAGTGGCCTTTTCTCTGTGTGTGGGCTTAATGAGAAGCAGTTTGATTGGAGTGTAGTCGGAATCACTCTCCAGATTCTGCATGGCTCTTCAAAGTCACAAAATGCGGAAATTGGCATCCTGATAGCAATTATGGGCACTGGAATTGTATAGGATGTTGGGGATGAAAACTGAGTAGAATAGGATGAGCAGTTGCTCCTCCTTCAAAATGAGCAGTTCTTGGCTTATTCTCGTTTGAAATCTTTGTTTTCATGCTGCTAACCGATATGAGAGAGTGCCTAATATTATAACTGAATTCATGTTATTGTTGAAAGCTTTGATTAGGCTATCTAATCTGTGGTTGAGATAAGATGTACTTTCTTTTGTTAGTTGACCTTTGGGAATAAGGATTTGAGGTTGAGGAAAGTATGGAAGAGATGGTGTGCCATCATTTGAAATTAATGTCTAAGCAGCGTTCCTCCTTTGCTTGGGAGAAATTCTTGAAGATAACATTGTCCTAGCAGGTGCAAAGAAACACTGCTTTTTACCCCTGTCCCTTTCCTGCTCCTTCATCATATTAGATACTCTGTGTCTGCTGTCAGCAGCTTGAACTATGATTAAAATAGATTTGATAACTTGGCAAGCTGTTTTGTTGTTCCCCATGTGCTACAGCCATCCTCCCATCTTTCCAAATCGTTAGCTTAGCCACATCTAAAACAGTGTCTTAAAACATTCTAGAATGTCTATGGAATTTAGAAGTTTAAATGTAGCGTTTATCTTTTAGCCTGTGTTTAACAGCACCTTTTGTTTCATTACCTGAATGATGCTTTGCAGAATTTCATAGGTTAATAAGCAAATTTTTAACTATTAAGCCATTATTTTTAGAAAAATCTATGAAAGATTCGACAATACATATAGAGCATACATTTGCAGGCATAGTGTAATATGCATTTCTTTGTTTTAGTGGATACTTATTAATACTGAACAAAATCTTTCTATTTAAATTGAATAATCTTAAACCAGCACATTGTGCCCCTATGTAGATTAAAGGTATAGGGCTGCTTATATGTTTAATGCATTTGTTTGAATACAGGTAGCCTTCAACATATGAACACAATTGAGCCCAGAATTTATGTTGCTAAGTGAGAAATTTGTTGTGAGTTTTGTCCCATTTTATGACACTTCCTGCCACATTTGTTAAGTGAATCATTGCAGTTGTTAAATTAGCAACAGGGTTGTTCAGTGAATCTGGCTTCTTCAATGACTTTGCTTGTCAGAAGGTCACAAAAGGTGGTCACGTGACCCCGGGACACTGCAATCGTTATAAATGTGAACCAGTTGTCAAGCATCCAAATGTAAATCACGTGACCATGGGGATGCTGCAATGGTGGTATCTGTGCAAAATGGTCCTAAGTCCCCTTTTTCAATGCTGTTGTAACTTGAACGGTCGCTAAATGAGCTGTTGTAAGTCAAGGGCGACCTGTATGTTCCATCAAGTTGGTGTCAACTCTTACTGACCATATAATTAAACCTTAGCCAGGACGATCATTTTCCAGCTTTACTCTTCAGGTTTCCCAATAGAGCATCCATTACCACTACAATCAAACCCATCCCTATTGCTGCAGGTTGTTGTCTTCCCTTCCATCTTTACTAGCATTTTGGATTTTTCAAGGGAGCTTGCATTGTGTTTACATGACGTGTGCAGAATGCTATAATTTGAGCCTGATCATTTGTACCTTGTGTGAAAAGTCTAGATTAATTTGTTGTCCAATTCATTACTTATTTTCTTGGCTATCCATGGTTATTTCAAAAGTCTTCTCCAACACTAAAATTCAAAAGCGTCAATATTCTTTCTGTTCTGCTTCTTTACAATTCAACTTTTGACTTGCTTGTTAATCTAAGTGTATTTTGAAAAGGCTATAGCACTAAAGTAGGTAGTGGCGGATAGAAAGGCAGTCACATAGATCAGGGGTCTCCATCCCCAGGTCCGGGACTTGTTAGAATCCGGGCTGCGCAAACAAGTAAAGCCCCATCTGTGGGAAACAAGCAATATATAAAACCACATCCCCTCTGGTCCATGGAACCAGTCCCTGGTGCCCAAAGGTTTGGGGGTCTAGATCAGCTTTTATTGAAGTAACCTGCCTCCTACATGGAAAGATGTCTGGCATCAATTTTACAAGCAGCTTGGGTAACTGCCTCTGCTAAAAGATACTCTAATATTAAGCTGAAATTCATAGAAAATAGACAATACGGATTGATTCTGTAGTAGAAGATTGTGTTGTCCTCATAAACAGTGCATATCAGTGCAGGTCATATGGTCAGGTCATATGTGCTGCATTACTCAATATTAGTTTGTATTTGGGATTTATAAATCATTCTAAGCAAACAATTGACATTGAAATGCTTAGGGTTTTGATGTCATATTGACCTTTTGGATCTAGCCTAAAATCTTCTCCCACGGTCTTGGAACTTCTGGTGTTTTTTTTTAAAGATCCTATTTAGTTTTAATTATTGTGCCAAAGCTGATTCTTTGGGAAGAAGGAGTTCAACCCTCTTTATGTACTTCCTTCTTAAAATTGCAAATTTCAGCCTAGCAGTTAGCCTAAAATGGGAAATGGAGTTATTTGTAGAAATGGGGATTTCCCCACCCCCCTTAAATTGAGGTTATTACCCATAAAGAATAGAATAACGGAGTTGGAAGGGACCTTGAAGGTCTTCTAGTCCAATTCCCTGCTTAGGTAAGAACCCCTACATCAGACAAATAGATATCCAACATCTTAAAAATGTCCAGTGTTGGCGCATTCACAACTTCTGGAGGCAAGTTGTTCCATTGATTAATTGTTCTAACTGTCAGGAAATTTCTCCTTAGTTCTAAGTTGCTTCCCTCCTTGATTAGTTTCCACTCCCTTGATTAGTTTCCACTCATTGCTTCTTGTCCTACCGTCAGGTGCGTTGGAGAATAGTTTGACTCCCTCTTCTTTGTGGCAGTTCCTGAGATATTGGAACACTGCTATCTTGTCACCCCTAGTCCTTCTTTTCATTAAACTAGACACACCTAGTTCTTGCAACCGTTCTTCATATGTTTTAGTCTCCAGTCCCCTAATCATCTTTGTTGCTCTTCTCTGCACTGTGTCCAGAGACTCAACATCTTTTTTACATCATGGCGACCAAAACTGGATGTAGCATTCCAAGGGTGGCTTTTCCAAGCCATTATAAAGTGACTAACTTCATGTGATCTTGATTCTATCCCTCTGTTTATTCAGCCTAGAACTTTGTTGGCTTTTTTGGCAGCTGCTACACACTTCTGGCTCATATTTATATGGTTGTCCACTAGGTCTCCAAGATCCTTCTCACAGTTACAACTATTGGGCAAGGTACCACAAATACTGTACCTGTGCATTTTGTTTTTCTTGCAAGAAACTGAACCTGTTTCACACTGAGCTGAAAAAGTTTCTCTTTAGCTGAAACGTACATTGTAATTTTTTACAATTATATTCACAGTTGCTGGGAGTTGGACATTGTATACATTTATTATTGCTGCTGCCTGCTGCTGTTTCTTGTTTGTTATAAATAGCCATAGTTGACTATGCAAGGATTTTATTTTTGTATGCTTGTTATTTTTATGTATAAGTCAGAAAGGTGATTTTCTTCTCGTTCTTTTCTTGACTTACACGGGTAACTGTTCTACAAGACATCACCACAGAGAAATTGATTCCCCCCCCCCCCGTTTTTTGTTTTGGTGGTCTCTTTCAACTGAGGAGGTTATCACTTCCAACCTGTCATGGAAAAGCTTTAGATGTCTTGTGATGTACTTAAAAGCGCTTGCAAAAAGGCTCAGTGTACCTCTGCAATTTATTCCATGTTGATGAGTGCTTTGAACAAGAACATCCTTCAACTGTCACCCTGAGGGATGTGATGGTGCTTAATTCATTTTATTCAGTAACATTCAAGACTGTTGGGCTTTTTCAGTCAGTTGTCTGGACTGCTTACCTGCTGTAACCGTGCAGAATCCAGTGGAAAAAAAGAGTTAATGAGCC